TTACCAAACTAGAAGATTGCTTGCAGCAACTGTGGACTGAGATGCTATAGGACACCACATGGCATCTGTATGCCTCCATGCTTGCCATATCACATTGTGTATTCACACTAGAGGTAATCCAACAGGGTACTACCTTTCATTTGTAGTTTTTCCTGCAACAAATGATCCTTTTGCTTTCATCCTGTAATCACTGACTTTTATCACCATTACACTCACAGATGTATAATGTATAACATAAATGTATGACCATGTCATATATATACATTTTAAGATGTACACAGTGTCTGAGATGAATTAATATAGGTTAACTTTGCATGAAGATCCAGTACAATATATAGGTTGCTATGCAACGTGAAAGATAACACAAATCAAAGCAGAGCCCCAGAAGTGTATAGTATACTGGTAAGAGACGATAGATTCCAAAAGGATTTAGTGTATATTGGCTCAAGTAAACAATCAATATGAAATTTTGTTCTATTAAAATAACTCCACCTTGGTGTGCTAATTTTTATCTAATAGGCATTACAGTACTGTAAATCTATTTTTGTTAGGTGTATTAAATACTTGGCTGCTCGCGTATCTGAACACCAACGTTCAGTGGCACTTGGCAATTGAGACACTGAACTTTCCAAATTGGTGATACAACAACACCACATAGCGCTTTGGAATTGGGTGGCAATACTCAAATGCTGTGATGAAGAGAGCTTGCTATATATTTGGGAGGCCCTCCTCATAAAACTGCTCTCCCCGTGCAACTCCCCTACCCTCGACTTACTGGATGTCTGGATTAATTTATACAGATGTTAAAAAAATCAGCAATAATTCTACACTCATTTCCCACAACTCCTATGTGGTTCAAGGCACATACGCGTCGGCCTCTTTACGTGCGTCTTTTTATATGTTACATGTGTTTTATGCATTTTAAATTATGTTCCACGTTTTTATATTTAAATTTTAATGTAAACTTGCACTTATTGCTCTATTCCAATTGGCTTCTATGCTGTTTTTCTTAAGGCGCATGCGTGCCAATTTTATACGTGTTTACAAAATGTTTTTAATTTAAAGTCTAAAATTTACTTGTTCTTAATAACCATTCTAATTGGCTCTTATGTTATGCATGTTAAGGTGCATGCATGCCAATTTTTTGCATTTACAAAAAAAGGCTTCTTAATTTCAATGATCTTAATTAATAGCCATTCCAATTGGGGTTTGTTTTAAGACGAATGCACGCTAATTTTAAATGTTTTTAATTCTAAAATTTAAATCTTATTTTTTAATAGTTATATTCCAAAAACGGCTAATATCATTAATGCTTAAATTTAAATGTTCTGTTCAAATTCTCTATTCAATTTTGAATTGCCTGAAGATGACGTACATATTTATGTTGAAAGCGCTTGCAAGATTAAAATATTTCTTGTAAATCTATTTTTAATATTCAGTTAAATTTTTCTAAATTTGTTGAATAAATTATTTTCGTAATCTTTAAATTTCATTTGTAGACAACATAGTGGGATGTTACAATATTTTTGTTGTTTTTGAATATTCTCAATGAATGTTTTATAGTCAGTTTTAAAGCTATTCTGAAATCTCATTTCTTCTTTCCTAAGAAATAAACATGACATTAAAATTTCAAATATTTTCTCCAAGATTCTTGGGATTTCTTTCAATGTGAAACCATTTTACTATATACATTAGGTTGAATAAAACTGAAGTATAAATGGATTTTATAAGGTTTTTATTATTAGTTGGCCTATTAAATATCAAGAAAATTAACAGAACTTAAAAAAACTTATTATTCTTTCAATCTGAAACTGCTGTACAAATTGATATTACGTTGACCTTTTGTATATATTGATGGCATTGCTGGAAATAAACAAAAGATCAGTGTATTATCAATTTAACAGAACTTACTGTAATAGTCATATGCCAAAGTAAATATCTGTTAGATTCTGTTACATTTCTTGATATGTAGTGCAGATGAAAAGAATATGTGATGTATTTCATCTGATTACATCTCAAGGCTCTCTGTGAAGCTGACAGTGAATGTATTTTTCATAAGTTTCTGTTAGTGACTAGTTGATTAATACAAAATTTTTGGATAATCATTTTTAGATTCTTCTTGCCTGGTATACTCAAAACAAAATAAAAGTGAACTTGCTGCCTCAGCATTTTTCCAATTGTTATTACTGCATAAATGCTTACATTAAAATATATCTGTTAGAACAAATTAGATATTAGAATAAGCAAAGGTAATGCTCTCAGAAAAATTTTTTCTGTTAGATAATCCACACATTCATTTCTTCTAATTGCTTTAGGACCAAAGTTCCAGAAGAAAATAATTTTATATTTTGAAATTATTTTATAACCAAAATTTCTGATATCTTATTAATGAGTTAAGTTTTCTTCTAAAACATAAAAACTAAAGAAAAAAAAAATCAAACAAAATATGTTGTCTTCAGGTTTTTTGGTCTGTATATTGAATGCAACTATGATATAATTTTGGGATGATGGGCTTTACATTAAGATGATTTCTAATTTGGCCCATGATAAATTATAGATGTGAATATTTTTCTGGAAAGTCAGTTAATGCTAACTGAAACTGATTCTGCAAATATTATTTCAACTAGAAGTAAATTAAACTTTCTCAAAATTTGAAAAGCACCCTGTAGTTTGAATCCAATTATGATAAGGTATTTTTTATTCCTAAAAACTATAAATTTGTATTTCAAAAAGAAAACTCTTTTTATTTTTGAATGAAAAATAATAACTAGATTATTTCCAAATACTTTTTAAATGATATTTCATTCATTCACAAAAAATTCTATATGTCACCATAAAGTGATTTTTAACTTTTAATTTTAACAATGAATAAAAGCTATTGTCATCATAAACTCGATAAAAATTTTATTACTTTCAAACTGTAATTTTTTAAATTTTTAGCAAATAGTTGAATAAATTTATAGGTTAAAAAGTTCTTTGAATAGTCCGATAAATATAATAAAATAGGAAAAATTTTATATTCTTTTCAAGTAAAAATTTTGCAGGTGATCTCTTTTCATGTATTTTAAAAAATAAAAAAATGTTAAAACTATATTTTCTATTCTGTATACTCATTTATTATTGATCTACTCACCTTTTCAAATTCAATGTTAAAGACTAGTGCTAAAATAATATCACCTGGGAAAAAATATAAGACTTTTATGAATTCCTTGGATATGCAAATGATCCAATAATATTTACTAGAAGAGATGGATAAATGGATAAATTTTCCAAGAAAATGTAAAAACTATTTATAATCTTAACAGACAGAACAATTTTCAAGTCTCATGATAAATTATTGTGCTTTTACACTTCTTTAATGTTATTAGAAATTTTTGATCAATTTTTATTCCTATTTCATTTTTAGTTTTAAATGATTGCAATTCAATAACTTTTTTAGTTTCATATTTCAATCTTTTTCAAAATTTGCACATTATTGATCTCTATATTTTTGATCACATTTATTGATCCCTATAATAGAAAATGAGATTTTTCTTATTTTCTATTACACTTCCATTCTATTTACATTTTATTCATTTAAAATAATAATTTATAAATAATTGTAAAATGAAGATTTTATAGATTTAAATAATTTTTATTGGGATTTGGCTAGTTAAGTTTATTTATAATTCAGAAAAATTGTCTCAATAAATGATATATCGTCATAACTTGCATACTAGTTATAGTAACAATAATAATAAATTTAAAAAGATCTGGAAAAAGAAAAACATTGAATAATTGAATAAGCAAATTATCAGTTAAGCTATCCAAATCTGTAAGAAATTATGATTAATTTTTGCTTTAATATTAAATCCTTTATATTTAAAATCCTTTTCTTCTTATTGCTAGTGAGCAACCTATATGTAAGAATTAATTTCATATCTTCATCTTCTAAATTAGATATTAAATTATAATATTTTTAAATCATAGCCCAATATTATATTTGGCATAAACCCAAAAGAATGACTGCCCGGCTAAACAGACAAGACAGTTAATGCATCAGCATACTGTTCTGGAGATCCAGGATCAAATCCAGACAGTCAAAAAATCCCAGGAAGTTTTTGGGAGTGGTTTGTCCCATATAAATCAGCCTCTGTCCCTTGTCACGCCATTACGGGCCTGGTCAAACCCATGGCGGGCTCGAAAAAAGGCTCTCTTAGTGTCAACTCGTGGAAAAAAGTAAAAATAAAGATTCAAAAATGTGTTCTTTACTTTAAATGAATAACAAATAATCAAAAATCAAGTCTTTTATGCAGGATGATCTAAGCAACATTTTTAACTTGATCAAAAATTAATTTTAGAAATTCTACATCATTGTGAATATTCATGTTAGATTTTTATATTAATAAAGAATGATCAAATAACAAATATAAATTTAATTTATAAATCAGCTGTAACAAATAAATAGGTAAAATAGACTAAAAAATATTTTTTGAGAATAAAAATGAATTTAACTCATCATCAAAATAAAATCATTTTATATAATTACTTTTTTTAAACTTATATTAACAGAATAATAAATGTGTATTAATATGGCTGGCTCTATATAAATTCCAAATGAGAGATGAATCTTCAGTTCCTACTTTGGATAATATATATATTAAATTTATTTATTCTGTATAGTGTGTAAAAAAGAAGCCTGTATATATATATATGAACTTGATTTAAACAATAATTTGAAATTTCACAGATTAAAATTTATATTTTAGATATTATAAATATTTCATTTATAGTTTGTAGTAAAAGCATAAAAATGCTGTAAAAATATTTTCAATTTATAAATCAATGCAATATTTATCAATATAAAGATTATAGTTTTATAAATAAATAATTTCGGAAGAACGCGCACAATCATCCGCCATAAACTTAATTATAAGAGAGAACCGCAGGTTAAAATATACAAATAAAATGATATTTTATCAATAAAATAATATAAAAAAGCAATTCCTTTTGTCTCTAACCTGATTCTCAGTTCTTAGCATTTTCATCTGATCATTAATCAATGTATGCTTAGCAGCCTCTTCTTTTCTTAAAGCCCTTTCTTTCTTCAATTCTGGACTCCAAAAAGTTTTGATGCTATGCATACTTGAACCGAGTTTTTGATTAGTAGAATCCAATTCTCTTTTCACATTACCGTATTGATTTTGTAGTTCATTCAATCTAGTTTGAAGTTCTAATATAAAACTATCTCGACTGAAACCCTGCCTAGACGAATCCGGAGGATAGGAACCACGATAAGAAGGATCACTGTTGGGCATCATTTCGTGATTAACGTAAATATCCTGATCTTCTCGGCTTCTATAAAATGCACGATCGAGTGATCTGTCTCGTACTCTTGCGTGCCTGGCATTAGCTTCCATACGATCCAAGGATCTCTCTCTAGCAGACATTGGCTCTCTTTCTAACGAATGATAATTTCTACCGGAGACTCTCGTTGCTGATCGACTTCTATGGGAAGTGCTCCTCCCTTCCATCTCATAGGATTGAGAATCCAGGTTTGCAAAATTGGGATCGAAATAAACAACCTCCGGTGATACAGTTAATGGACTACTGTTGCTCGATCTGCTTATGCCGAATATTCTTCCGTGGCGGCTTAGAGCTTGCTGGGATGGAGATGGAATCACTCTAAAGGCTGAAACTGGACTTCCGTGTACCGATGGCGGTTGTGAAATGGATTGATACATTCTGGGTTGGGTTTGTACAATTCTCGTAGCGTAGTCTCGAGACATGATAATCTATCTCGATAACCAACCCTCTGTGCAACCCCCGAATTATCGTTTTATCTTCGTGAGAACTCATTCGTCACGTAATTTCTTCAATCTTTCCTACCTTAATAACATACCATCGTAACCTTATCGCGTACACCAGATGCCGCCCCTACTCTCCGCTGACGTCACATGCCATCTCTTCCGGTGACGTCGAATTTACTCATATCCGTTGTTTGACGAGTCTGCCGCGATTCTATGAATTAATTAAACTTTTTGAATGAAATTTTCGATTTTAATTTAATTATAATTTTCCTATTTTACCGCGCGAACAGGGTATTTAAACATAAAAGTCGATTCTTCTTTTAAAATTTTGTAAATCACGTGACTTTAAAGGAGACAACAATCTTAGCAAAAGAGTCTACGTCTTTTGCTTTTAATCGATGACCTCTTTATATGTATGAAAAAACAGAGATAAATAATATAAGAAGAATTACCCGTCTAAACGGAGCCAAAGTTATTACCCTCCCCCATTACCCCATCGTCGATGCCCTTTACTTTAATTATAAACTCATTAGAAAAAATTATTTTCTCTCCAGAAACAACAAAATACACTTTTATAAAAATTAATATAAAAGCAGAAAAGTCTTGTATTAAAATTGGGGGGTAGCTTTAACTTCGCAATTAACTTTTTATAGGTTTAAAAAAACAAATAAATTAATAGATTTTTAACGTTAAAAAAAAGACATCAAGTTTACTGTTTGTCATTGAAATTTCCCAACCTAAAATTAGCCAATTCGATCGATTCACGATACAATTACATATGTTGATTCCTAGATTCTTTAAATAGAAGTACTGCAATTCCCCACCCCCTTCGACTTTAAAGATAAAGGATGAGGAGTGGAACATCAATACCTTTAACAATTTAAAAATCAATTTAATTAATAAACACTTCAAGAATTTTATAGGAAAAAAAATAGACTAATTGAATTAAAAACAATTATTTTAACGAATTAATTTATATAAAATTCAAATATTTAAATTACTTGCGAATAAATAATTAAAGAAGAGAATACAAGTATTATATAAAATGAAAGTACAGTAATAAATGATTACAATCCAGCAACCAGTTGCGTTATTTTTTCGGCTAAACTTTAAAATTTCGTGTTGTTCCATTTATTATAATATTTTATTTAAAAACTTTTATATTATTAATTATTATAATATAGCAAAATGCTTAATTTTTAAGGTAGAGACAAGTTTTATTTTTAAAAATTGTAAATGCGAATAACGAGTAATATCTTCATTAAGTCAGATCACACTCGAGATACGACATGTAATCTCCCTCTATCTCCCCACTCCCTCGACCCTTAATCATGAAAATTTAATAGGATCAATCCCCCTAACACAGAAATCTCCCTGTAAAATTTCAAAAATTTTTGACAAAAGGTATAGGAGTTATTAAGCTTCAAAGTGGGTGAACAAAATTGTGCCCCTCACACAAACATACAGAAAAATCCTAAAAATCCTTTTGCATTTCTCAACGTTTCAACGTCCCCCTAGACCAAAAATGTAAAAAATTTTCGACTGATCGCCATACTTTTCTTCTGTTATATATAACAACCGGAAAAATAATAAATAAATTATATAAAGTAATGATTAAAAACAAAATATTATTTCTAAATTTAAATATATTTTAATAAATTTTTCGGATCATTTCGACGTCATCGGATTCATTAAAAGTTAAAAATAAAAATCTCATAAATAAAATATTTAAAAATATGTTAATGATTCATATGATTGCATTATGAATGAGAAATGTATTTGCATTGAAAGTATTTATGAGATCAATAACATGACATAGAATTATAAATAATCTTATAATTAATATTTTTTTATATATTTTCTCTAATATAGAATCTCTAGCACTAGAAATTTTTCTTTAAGTTAATTTTACTTCGAAATTTTCTTATCTATGAAGCGATTTAAGATGTTAAAATACATTTTTGTATTGTTACAGTCATTGATTTTTTTATACTAAAATAAATTAATAAATTATTCTAGAAAAAAATTTGAATGAGTTTTTCTTGAATAATTATAATGATAATTTTATACAAATAATTAAAAGTTTATTTATTATGATATAAACAGAAAATGATTTTCTCTGTGCCTGGGAGGTAGGAGAGAAAACACAATTGGAAGTGATAAATGGAGGATGTTTTGATGAGAAGTTTTAAAGATTTATCTACATATTATGTAACGCATTTAAGAGAAAAGTTTTATGAAATTTTCTGGAAATGCCTTAAGCTCTGTTAGAACGGGGTTATTTATGAAAAGTGACACGTCATATATATCGTAAAGTATGCAATGTTTTATCTTTATATTGTTTTTGAAACTAGATTTTATAAACATGTAACAAATTTTGATTAAAATATGCAGCCATATTTCAGTATCCGAACTCCCTTTATAACGAATGGTCTGTCTAAATATCGGAATAGAATAATCCCCGGTATTACGAATTTCTTCAAAGAGCATTTACAAAAATTCGAAAGTTGCGCTAAAAGAGTGGGAAGTGATTATAAGAGAAATGATTACTAGAAGAATGGGAAATGATTAGAAGAGTGAGAATTACTAGAAGAGTGGGAAGTGATTAGGAGTGTGGACAGCGTCTAGAAGAATAGGAAGTGAGGAGTGATTCTGTTTTCAGTGTGTTTTCTCTTGTTTCAGTAGCGTTGTGTTTGTATTAGAATACAAACAACGCGGTTTAAGTTTTATGGAAAAATTTTAGTGAAATTCTTTCAAGCTTATTCTTAACAGTTCGTTACAGTAAGAACACTAACTCGATTGCTTATTTTCACTATCGCTTTGCTTTTATATAGTAATTTTTTTAATATGAAATGTATAGTATCAATACAACATTTTTACTACTGTCTACTGAAATTCATATATAATTTCTAATATGGAATACGAAACAAACTTATTCATTGCCTTTCTCATTACAAATATATTCTTGGATGGTTCCCATAAAGTATTTTCAGTAAGGTAATTGGAGTTTTTAATTTTTATCATTACGATAATTCCATGGATTGATAAATAAATGTGTTTTTTTCAATGTTTTAGTTTTATTTTGGGGAATTAATGGGGGGGAGTTATACTGAGCGATCGGAAAAGAATTATGTTATTCTTTGTTAAAAATTAATAAAGCGAAAAATTCGAGTACATTTTATATTAATCTAGATTTATACAGGATTAATACAGGATTGCTTTATCTATTGAGGCTGTCTATCAATAGCTAATGAGGAAGAGAAATTGATCTAGTAGAAACTATAGATCCAAATTAGAAATGTATATGGGAAATAACGTTCTATTAAGGTTTGGAAAACAATATATATATATTTGTGGGAGAGAATCTGTATTTCTAAAAAATAAGTTGGATGTTTGATAACTTCAAATCTCAGACACACAAAATTCAGAAATAGAAAGGAATTTCTTCTTCATCTGGAGAGTAAAAACTATATTAGAAATGTGTGAAAAGAAAATTAATTAATTGAAAAATAATTCTGGTGCGAGCTGAGGCAAAATGCAAGTAAATAGTTTGGTTCGGCTTATTTGGTTACGGCAACGCGAAACGTTGGCGGTCTGCCGAGGGGATGCTTCTCGGGACTGGGAAACTGACCCCTATTTAGGTATTACCAAAAAAATACACACCGAATACATATTAGCCTATATACCAGGATAACTACAATAATAGAGATAATGTTAGTGACTAACATGAACTATAACAAGAAACTATAGTGTATACGTATTATCTGTTCAAAAAAACGACAGTAAGATATTGTAGAAAGAGTTTGGTCTGAAATGAAATTCAATTCAACAACTGTAAATATTTTGACGATTGAAGGAAAAATATTATTCTGAAGTTGACTTGAGAATAGATAAAATTTAGATGGCAAGTTTCCTCTCTGTCTCTTTTTCCTCTTCCTATCATTCGAACACAGAGAGAACTTTTTCAATGCCCATCATGTGTTTGTCCAGATTCGCAATGTAATATCGATTATGGATGAGATCTGGCATAATTGGACCAGAATAATTACAAACGTTTTCTGAATTCTGATCAGATGCGAATCCAGTTCCCTCATAAAAACAGTGATTAAAGAGTCAAATCGAAAGAAAAGGAGTAATATTAATTATTATATAGGATTTATCAATATACTGTAAGCGATACAAAAGTATTTATTCTAATAATTAGGAAAACACTGAAAATAAATATTTATTATGCAATTTTTATCGCAGTAAATATTTATCAATGTGTACTTTTGTGAGGGAAAACTGTGCAGCTCTACTTATAAACTCAAAGGAGAAACCAGCTCTACAGGGGTTTGGCACTTTGCAACATCTAATAAAATTCCAATTGAGAAAATTCTCGGATAAGTGTTAGCATTTTAAAGTAAGTTTAGTGAGTATATACGAAGAATTAGGTGCTTTTCTCAAGTGTAAACAGCAACGTCTACTAACTAATAAAAGGATAAGGGAAACAAGCATAATCTCAACCACTGCGTAACAAGAAATAAAAAAAAACAAGCATTTTGAAGTACTCATAAAAACGATATTATATTATGGTTTCAGTAAGCACTTTAAAACTAGAGGATGTAGGACTTTTAATAAATTTGAGAAGAAAACAGAATGAATAATTTTACAAATTAATAAAAGAGATTGTGATAAGAGTCTTAAATACATTTTCGTTATTTTAAATTAATATTTATCTAAATTCTTAATTTTTATATTCGGACAATTTGTTATCCAAAATACGCGAACAAAATATATAAATGTCAGTAAATATTGTTTTATGAATCTTCTCTATTAACAACGCAAAGAATTATTTGATACGAAGTAAAATAAAGTAGAACTTTCTTCTGTTTTCCCACGAACAAAGTGCCCACCATTAGTCGAGTGCATAAAACCTCTGAACACTGATGATTGTGGCTCGCGGAAAACTCGCCAATGGGGAGTTTTCCGGGTTTTCTTCACGTTTGTAACACCTAAATAGGGCCTAGTTTTTCATGGAAAGTTCTTCCGGCAGTCATCCCCTCAACAGATCTCGTGTTCGAAATAAACAAATCCACAAAGCGAATGAAATATGTCAAGCAATATACGAATGGTTATACAGTAAATCAATTTAGTGTATTTTTTTCTCTTATTTATTTTCACGAAATATCAACCTGTACTTAGTTTAACAGAAATTGGTTAAGATTTTCTACTGTATTTCGGATGAAAACAATGGTACTGATAAAAGCATTTTCCGCAGAGGAAGTCTAAAAAAGTAAATTTCATTCTTTAGAATATTTCTCTTATGAAATGGAAAAAATCGATTTCCACGCTAAATATTATGTAAATATTTAATAATTTCTATGTAAACATTTTGTCGCATTAGCTTTCATTAACTATTTTAATATCAGCTTTTTATGACGTTCTACGACATACATTCTTGATAATCGTACGTCTTCATTCATATTTCAAATCCCAGTTACAAAGATAATACTATAATTTATCTTGAATAATGTTTAACTAGTGGCCAAAGCATTTTATTTTTCGGTCTGTAAATATGATCTACAATGTATAGAAATTTTTACGAAAATATAAATGAAATTTTTAAAAATATTTTAAAAATGTATAAAAAAATTCTTACTATAAGTTATTTGTTTTTTTCCCCCCTCAAAGAATTTATTTCATGACTGATTAACACTCGCGGTTATAAGAAATTAGACAATGCTGTTTAGATCGATAGTTTTTAAACACGTAATTTCCCATTCCTGGTCCATATCTCATTGCCGATCTATCCTGTCCAAACTGATGAAACAAATAATTTATTGAGTGCTCAGCACACAATAAATTATTTGTTTCATCAGTTTGGGCAGACCCACAATGAAATTAGAAACCGGGAATCCTAGAATCAAATTCGGACAAGTCGAAATACTTCAGGAATTTTTGGGGATAGTCCGTCCGGATACGTCGGGCCCCATCCATCCCTCACCAATCGCCCACCTCATTGTGGGCTTGGCCGATCCCATAATGGGCTTGCTAAAAAAAGTCCTCTTAGTGTCAAGAAGGAGGAAAGAGTTTTAAAAAATTCTTTTGTATATTGCTTATCATTCCTATGTATTAAATTTACACCTTAATATTGTACTAGAATTAAAATTAACATTTTAATTTTATTTATCTTTTTATTCTTCCCTACCGAGTGTAATCGGTCATTTGAAAAATCGGTTATCCGAAATTGTTCCGCTCCAATTATTTCGTATAATCGATGTTCTACTGTAACATTATTTTTATATGCGTATCACGTACTATTAGATAAGAATAGTCGCAATTTTTTATAAATACTTACCGAACGATTAGCTAAATTTAAAATAATAATAATAATAATCTTCAAAATGTATTGACTTAACGAATGTATAATAAAACTTTAAAATTATAAATTACAAATCTATTGTATTAAAACAACTTTAAATATTAAAAGTATTAAAAGTAATTCATTTATAAGTGAAAATTAACAAGGTGTCGCGGGTCTCTTTCGGACTCTGCGTGATTACATATTAAGTTAATGGGCGGATGGCTCTGTGCCACTCTGGAGGACCCGGGATCGATTGCGTGGAAATTATTACTGGATAGTCCATGAAAATTCCTTGGGATTTATTACCTGACTAGAATCCAGGCAAGTAATAAATCACAGAAAATTTTCATGGACCATCCGTCTCGGATATTTAGGGCCCGTACCTCACTACCCGGCGGCGCCAATGTGAACCTAGGAGAGTCAACGATAGGCCTAGCAAATAAAAGGCCTTAGTAACCGTGGGGTGAAAATGTTTAAAAATATACTATTTCATTTTATTTTGAAATTATAACAATTTCGAATTAAAGTGTGTAATAAACCAAAAGTAACATTCGTAACTCTTAAATAATATGTTTTTATAACACCCTTCAATACAATTTAAGTTGTGAAAAGACAAATTTTATTACGTAAAATTAAGTCTGCCATGTAAAATATTTTTATATTTTAGATTAACAGAAGATAAAGGAAAAATCTTTGTATAACAGAATTGTTTCTGTTCTTGGAATAAAAAAATTCTACGTACAAATATATAGGCCTATATAAATGAATAGTAAACATGTTGAAAAAATTCTGCAAATATCAATTCAAATTAAACAATAAAATTATAGTCTAGTAGTATGGATTGTACAGAAAGGCGCTTCTATATGAAATGGTACAATGACTGGACTGACATAAAAGATAGAAATTTATATAGAAATAAACAAAGAAAATATAGGCCTATATAGCATAACACTGCCGCCAACAAATAAACGTTTATAGAACACTTAAGAAGTTAGAGCAATATTTTTATTAATTTAACACAAAACACAGAAAATTATTTACGAAATGTTAAAAATTTTCTTTGTGTCAAGAATACGGCGAGACTGTAACAATGGGCGCATTGCCTAGTAAAGAGGCTGGCTAGTAATGCAGCTGGATAAGCAACCAATTGCATAAACATTTTCGAATAAAATGTAGCCTACTATGACATTGGTTTGTTTATCCAGGTGTATTAAAGCCGCCTTATCAGGCGACGTTCCCAATATCGAGGTTTAAATTCAATCAGCACTCTAATCAAAACGTTACTCTGATCGAGCTTTTGATCATATCGGATTTTTGATTTTATGGGGATTTTAAACCGAATCTCATCTATCCTGTAAATACATCATCCTAAACTACTAAGTACTTCATTGAATATTAGCCGAATATTATGTATAGTTCCACCATAAAGAGTCAGTATTTCTTCGGGTTATGTGAAATCATCATAATTCAAGCATACTTTGCTACCAACTAAAAGTAAAGAAAGCAATTACATACAATGATATCGGTTTCATTTCCAAACTGGTTTTCAATTTCTGTAAAACCGCGGTTACCAAAAAATTGGTTGATCGGTTTTTACCGAAAACCGCTAACAGGTTGTTGCCAGCACAAATACAAACCCCAGAAAACTAAACTCTATCGTGGAGAAAGTTTTATTAGATTTAATATTCTTAACAATATTTGCTGATGAATTGATATGTTCTGAGGAATTTCATACAGAATTTAATTCTTTACAAATATTATTTCATAATAATAATAATAAGCGTTGTCTGTAATCACTTTTAAAGTAAGTACGACTACTTGCATTGTGTTTGCTCAGGGACAATTACCTATTATTCAAAATACCAAAATATCCGAACGAAAATAACAGTTAAAAGCCATGTATTTGAATGAACATTCCATTTTGCTAATACTTCAACTTCTTTCACAAATAATTTTTAACAATTTTTCTGATGCTGTAAGAAGATATGATTGGTTTCTTAACATTATGTTATAATTTTTTTGGAGATAAAAATACAATATGTATAAAATGAGGTAAGTTAAAAATGCAAATTAAGTCTGGAAATAAGAATTAAAACCTAGAGTAATAAAATTGTTTTTTACGCTCTTTTCACCCTGTGGTCACTAAGAGAGCATTCTTAACAAACCCACTATGCATTCGGCAAGGACCACAATGAGGGATAGAATTAGATATATAGGGGACGGATCATCCACGAAAACTGCTGGAATTATTTGACCCGTCTGGATTCGATCCCGAGTCTCCTAGAGCAGCGGTTTGCCACCCGACCGTCCCTAGAGTTCAATTTATACAATTTATAAAACTATTTCTTGATGAGAGTTTACGTTATTGACACAGTCCTGAAATTTACGCCTTTGCAGCATGTTCAAACAATGCTAGAGAGCCTATCGACTAATTTACTTACTTGTTAGTGGCAAACGCTAGAATCTCTACAATTGATTTGCATGCAATGACCTGTTGCCAATTTAGTTATTTTGTAGCTACATCTAGCAATTTTAATTCTCTATTTAGCTACGGAAAATAGTAATTTATAAATTTCCGACGTAGGCCTTCAGCTATTTTTCATTTTCTAAGACTACAAAAGCAATGTTTTTCATTGTTAGTACAGGTAAGTTATTCAGGTATTTTTCTTTCCTGGCTGTTATACACAATAAAGGGAAGTTTTGGAATTGTGTCAAATTTGACACTCCGAGTTTTTTTTTTTTTTTTTTTTTTTTTTTTTTTTTTTTTTTTTTTTTTTTTT